CCACAAATGTATATTTTCTCTTCTGTTGCATAAAAAAAAGGTTGTAAACCATGATGATTGATTGATTTCATTTATTTCTTGCCAGACTCACAATCAAGTCATAAGCGTGCCTTGAGAGAGACAGAGGAGGAAAAGGAAAACACTGCCAGGAAACTAAAACAAACAACATCTCTCCTTGAAGAGCAAATACTGAAATATAAAGATCAGGTAGGCAAAAGTTCAAGAAAATGTTTTAATCTTGACCACAAAGACACAATGCAGTCAGGTGTTTAACAGATATTTAACTCTCAAATAATTGTAGGAAGATTTTATCTAATTCTAATCCTAATCTAAAATAAAATGAGGGAAATGTCGCGATTAGGTAATTATCAGTGGTTATCAAAATATCATTTGTCTACTGACAATGGGAAGAAATTATCTAAATCTAATCTGAATCCAAACTTTTAGGGGGAGGGGTTAAAATTAAATGCATCCTACACACTACCATTATATCTTAATATCTCATACGTAGTTCAAGCCATATTATTTCTGATACCACATCATCATTTTTTCTGTTCAGTGTGAGAAGACGGCCAGGGCAGGGATGTTGGTAAAGGATCTGTATGTGGAAAATGCACAGCTCATGAAGGCATTGCAGATAACAGAGGAAAGACAGAAGAAATCAGAAAAACTGTGTTATAAATGGGAAGAAAAATATGTAGCTCTTCAAAGGGTTGTAAATAAAATTGTTCCAGCAGCATTAGGATAGATTTGTAGTGTAATACACAAGAAAGTAATAAGGTAGTGGTATTTTTTAAAGATTTCGTCTTTTCTATTGAAAACAATATATTTGGTAATTATATCTACTAGTACATGTTTTTATATTCGTATCTTTAATTTTTAAATTTTGACTTAAGGCAGTGGTAATCTATTTATTTAAAAGAGAATGTAGTACAGATAAACTGTTAAAATTAAAACCTGGAAAGTGTTTGAAAGTGAAGTAAAACAGCAATTAATTAATTTTTAGCATTGTTAATAAAATCCATCTGACACTAGCAAAAATAATTTTGTTACACTTTTCAAAAATGCAAATAATAATAATAACTTGAATAGGGGCCTACTGTCATTGTTTATAACATAAAAAACATAGGCCCCTAGTGAAATAATTTGAATGAATGTCATGTTTTTAATTAGTTACTGTGTGGCTGTGAACATATCCAGAAGATGTATTTTTACATCCCAGAAAAAGACATCACAATTTTTATTTCAGTCTTTTAAAGTTCATTTTCAATTACATACAACTTATTTTTTAAAACTTTCTCTAAATCACATTATTAAAAGATAGACAAAGATGGATAAGCTTGATGAAACAGCAAACGCGTCATAACTTATGTTAGTTTTCTGTTTTGACTGTCATTAAGCAATTGAAGTTGTGCAATCAAGCAAGCAAACATGCCATGGGTAGATGTCAACAGATAAAGGAGTCGTGTAAAAAGTTATTTTGGCTATGTATACACTGTATGCATGTAAGTTTTTTTTTTCAATGTAGTTTTCCTTAAATTTCTATTAAATTTTGCAAAAGTAATGTTTCTTGCATCTTATCATTCAATAGTAACTATGGGTGTAGCTCTCTGAGCATTGTATATAATGGCTTGAAAACTTGAAAAGTGCAGCTCATCATGAAAAGTAGGTCAAGGGACAACTTCAAGGTCACAGTTAGATTGTAGTATATATGACTTCCAAGTTGAAACGGAAGTATGGGTGTATCTCTGCTAATTTTGTGCTTTTTGATGAAAACGAAAAAAAAATTTAGACCCGTTTGACCTTGAAATAAAGGTCAAAAGTAAAATTCACGGACATATTTAAAATTTCCACATATGACTTTCCTTCAGCCTTGTTTACTTATTTTTCCCATAATACCTTTGGTTTGGGAGATATTAAGCACTTAATTTTGAAAATTTCACACAGGGTGCATTGCAACGAGTGCTACACCTAGACACATGCACTGGCAAACTCCAAAATTTATGTGAATCAAGTTGGGACTATATGTTACCTAAATCCAAGAGATTTGTACGAAGGCTCTTGTAGTCTAGGAGCAGAAGCAGTAACGGTGACATGGCTGCAGAGCCAGCAGATGCATCAGATATGCTGGATGCACGTGTTTACGCTGGTGCATGGTACAATAATGACCAGACCCAGTCCCTAAACAACATGTAAAAATAATCCCAATGCATGATTTTCCAATAACATTTAACGCTCCAGCAGGCCCATAGCCAGCAATTTTAAAAGGCATGTTCTTCTCTTAAAAAAATAGACCTTTTACCTGGAAACCATTGTGTAACTGATGCAATAATTCATTATGTTTAACTGCACAGTCAACATCAAATTTTAATTATACACAACAGGTAATACCGATACAGTAAAAGCAGTGCCCAAAATAGGGTTTTCTCCCATTTTGATGCAATATTACATAAAGCTTAACAGCAAAATGACCATAAATTTTTTATGGTAATATAAAAGTATAATGGATATTCAGGAAATGTGACCTGCAATGGAAGGTCTTCAATCCAAGCCAATGGAAGTTCAAAGTCACACCTTGAAACTGTCGTTAAGTGAAAATTACAGTTTCACAAAAAAAAAAGTGTATAACTTCCAGAAAATAAAACTAATGAGACAGATTTTCCAACTGAAGCTGTATTTCAGTCCTATGTTTATTTCCTGTAAGTGTGAGAGAGAATAATAAGTGACACGGTTTTCCTTTAACAGTGACTGTGGAGGCAGTGCTGAAAATAGGGTTTGCTTCAATTTTGATGCAATATTACACAATGCTTTTAGCATAATGACCATTAATTTTTAATCATAAATGTATTATGGATATTCAGAAAAGGTGAGTAGCAAAAGTCTTTAAGCCCATAGTAGAGTTCAGAGTCACACCTTGAAAATCCCAAAATGTAAACAAGAGATAACTGTACTAAGTTTATTTTCATTTTAAAAACCTTTTTTACATTAAACAAAATGATCAATTTACTGTCATTTTTAAATGATCAACTGAGAAAAGTATTGTCAAAGGACAAACATCAATAGGACAATTTCATATGTCCAACCTGCTCCATTCTGAGATTCTTAACTTAGTGAATGATTGAATCTGACGGCGTTGCATATATATATATATGCTGAAAAATTTGGTGAAAAAATGAAAAAAAAATAACTTTCAAAAAAATGGCCCGGTCATGCTGATTTTTGAATTTGACCTGCGTATTATGAATATTCATTAGTTCTGTGAGTTTCAAGCCAAAAAGTAAAATGGTTTTCTACTTGGGGCCGTAGCGATAGTCCGAAGGTTCAATAGTCGGAAGGTTCATTGGTCCGAATGTTCAATATAGAACCTTCGGACCAATGAACCCTTGATTAAAAAATCAATAAAAATGTTACCACTTTTCGGACCAATGAACCTTCGGACCAATGAACCTTCGGACTATCGAGATGCCCCCTTCTACTTAACGTGTTATCGGTGAAAGTGCACAGCAATGATGGTGACGACAGCAACAACAGACGCAGGTGATGGTTATATGTTCAGAAACATCTGTGTCTGTACATAAGGAGTGTCACTTGCCGACATGGCAGCCTGCATGACGATATAATGTCTTGCCGATTTGTTGAGTTATATCAACAATAATAATCACCTAGTATTAAAGTTTGCTTTTATATCACCCTACTTTGTTGGCAATGACCATGCATTTCTCTTATGTAATTGCAACTGGACTTGTTTATTTACCTCAGTCAAGGAGGTTGTTTTTGCCCCTCTTTGTCTGTCTGTCTGTCTGTCTGTCATCAACATAACTCAAAAAGTTATGGACCGATTTTGATGAAATTTTCAGGAACTGTCAGAAGTGGGCACCCTGAGCTTCAGAGCTAACTTGACACTAACCTCTTCACTGTAGCCTATCTTCATCGTGTCAAGTAACCTCTGACCAGATTCGATTGCCTCCGCCGCCCGCCAATCAAATTTAAAAGCCCGCACTCAATGACTCATTAAACGATCTAGCCAATGAACGCGAACGAGTCAAAGCGCGCTTTGTTCAAATCCGGACCAATCAAAGATAAGGCTGAATATCAGTGTCTTGCCGTAACCTGTGGGCAGCACGCAAATAACATCGTCTCTCAGTAGATAATGATGCAGGGCCTCAAACTGCTAGACCCTATGGTTTCAATTCCGATTTACTCATATTTTGCAAAGAATCAAGAGATAACTTAACACATTCTTTTTCGTAGTCACTCGCCTTGCTTTCTTTGTGTACGGTAATACACTCGGAACTACTCGGATGTCTCCGCACTCGACAATAACTTTGTTGTTAGTATGGAGCTTGCGGAATCAGCCGAGGATTGCCGATTGACGGTCAACCAATCAGCGTTTTCACCAAACTTTGGTGAAAAATTTTGAAACATGGATTTGATTGGCTTATATAAACTAGGTCAAACTATTTTCGTCAGAGGTTACTTGACACGATGAAGATAGGCTACAGTGAATAGGTTAGTGTCAAGTTAGCTCTGAAGCTCAGGGTGGAAGTGGGCCAAGGAACAGATGATTAGTTTTTGGTGGTGATACGGATCAATAATCAATCAATAATCCAAAATATCGAAAATTAAGGGGTGAAACGGCATTGACTTTGCTGCCTTGGCGGTCTGCTCTCTCTGAGTGCTTTCCTAGTTTTAAAGTGTATTGCGTTGTCCCAGATAACATGCCAGCAGTTGGCCACCGGTGGATATAAAAACGGCAAACAGCTGCATTGCGCAATATATTATTCAGCGAAACCCCCTATATCCGGGGCTTTCTAAGAGTAAAAGAAAGTCCCGGCGATGAGCAACTGGAGAATTTCAAAGGGTGTGTATGAGATTATACTATTATATATATTTTCATCAGAGCAATCATACATCAGAACACTTCGAACGTCCGTGAGGATACCCCATTTGTTGCCTCAATTCCCCCCTCCAATAGATGAAGAGCGAAGAGCAGATTACTTTAAGGCGAGTTTAGTGTCGGCACACAGGATTACTCGTAACAGGTAAGCAAAGTCTACGTGAAATAACACAGAACCTCTTATTTTTTACATATACATTTTAAAAGTGTAAACAGTATATGAAAGATTCATTTCTTCACTTTTGGCGTGCAAGGAAAAGTGAGAATACATCAACCTGCATGATAATTTATCGTGTAGGATGTGTTTTTCAAAATGGGCGATACTTTGGGGGAATCCCCTTGGAAATTCCGTTGGAAATCCCTTTTCTAGTTATATTTTCTGAGCAATATACGTAATAGCTTCTGTATACTGCTTAAGAAGAAAGCAAGGAGTGTCCTTTTTGAAATTAAGAACTACTTATCCAGCAGTGTCCCTGAATTGCGCAAGACAACGCAATGCACTGGAAAAAGCCCGCCCAGTTGCAAATGAACAAAGGAAACAGTCATTCTCAACAAAACAGGGTGTTATAAAAGCAAAATATATTGTTAGGTAATTAATATTGTTGATGCCAAACAGTCACATGCCAACATGGCTGCCAACCTGACGATATACAGGGGGTGGAAATGCGGTAATTTTGTAGTATACCCCCACCCCCACCCCGTAACTTTCTGTAACTTTCACTTTTCAAACATTTTTTTTACATTATCTTGTTCATCTATGTCAAAGCTGTTGAAATAAAGTGCTTTTGTAATTACCTGTGGTCTTTTTATTAGTTTTAATCACGGTAAATCCAGCCCATTGAAATACAATGTGAAAATCCGGTCCTACTAAACATAGAAATGGATAGAAATGGGTAGAAATGGATAGAAATGGACAGAAATGGACTGATATAGACCTCTAGGTAGGCATAGCAAACCTCTCTAGGATTGTATTTGAATTAGTAACGTTCCCACAATACATGGTTTTCTGTCTGTGCGTACATACCCTGAAAATGGTTAGCCTCGCTGATGAGAACAATGGATGTTTCTCACCCCTCTCTAGGATTACCCCTGTGATATACAAGTCTTGCTGATTTGTTTAGTTATGTTAACAATATTAAAGGGATAATAACTCTTTGTATAAGATCTATATTTCACAATAAAAACATTGTGAATAACTCATAGAAATATAATATATTCTGTTTTACAACAAAAATGGCAGTTATAGCTATTATTCTGATATCTGAGCTTGTCTTTAGACCACGTGACCTCCATTGATGGCTATACTCTGTTAAAATCTCGTAAGTATGTATTAGTAAATATGGGAAAATTGTTGTTTACTCCAGGAAAATTCATTTTTTGGCAGAAACGAAGAGTTAATTATTATCCCTTTAATTACCTAGTAATGTATTTCGCTTTTATGATATAGTTGAGAGAGATGCAATGTCATACAGATTGAGAACGGTGTAAATGAGTTTCATGATTCTGAAGATCTAGAAAACACTGTGGACAAATTTAGCTTTTAATTTTCAAGAGGGAGTATCACAACTTCCCGATAATGAGCTAGTGCAAGTGACAAGATAGAAAAATGAATAAAACTGAAACCACCTAGTACAGTGCTGTTCTTTTATACATTTGTGCATAATTTGAGTCTTTTTTTTATAAAACCTCAGCTCTCAATTCACCATTTTCCATTAAAAACATTTTAAAAAGTATTTGTAATAAGGATATTGTAATAAAAGTTGACATAGATGTGAGTTGAAACCACGTGATTGAGGTTTGATTTTGCAACCTGATTAAAATCTGATTTGCTTGTCAAAACTGCAGGGTAACTATCAAATCAACATACCCACTGAATGACCAGCAAACACAACAACCAAACACTTGTTCTCACAAAGAATCATAAAGGCAAAAATCTTCTAAATTGTGTGAAATTTGTGTAATGACACCAAACTTGTCTTAGTTATTTGCCACCATATCTTACAAATTTGGACAAATTGATCACACAATTTACAGTCTGCGACGTTAAGCACTAGCCCGAGGCAATTGCCTACCTAAAGTGGCACCGGGCTAGTAAAAAAGTTGAAATTTTATAAAGCACTAGCCCGAACGGGCTAGTTGTAATTTTGAACCTATTTTAACACTCAGTAAGATATCAAAAATAGATTTCTTTGTCCCTGCCTCTAATTTGACGTTTCTAGATAGTATGATATGCCTCTCAGTTGAAAAAACTCACACCTAGCTCTAACTACTGAGTGAATATTGATTAGTTGCTATAAATAACTTCACTGTAGTTATTTATAGCAGCAGTCTGTCTGATCAGCGTGTCGGCATCTTTTTATTTGACCAGTTTGTTGTCATGACTACAAATTGCTGTCAATCAAGAAACTGGATCAGACCGGAATTCCTTAGTACTAGCAACAGGTTTTGTCAAAACAACACGGTCTCCGAAGCAAGTGTTATCTCATAGAACATTTTGGTTAGGACCACTTAGCAGACTGAGGGGTGGAGTATTCTATTTCCTTTTTTGTTTATATTTTTTATTTATAATTTTGATATCCATGAGTAAATACATTTTCCTTTGCTTATTGCCTTTTAAAAACAATAAGACCCTGGCAGTTACATAAATACCCTATGAACTATTCTTGACAATGTGGGATGGTTCGGTTTATGCCATGGCTACCTCTCCACACTCTGTCCTGGTAAAGTCCTTGAAAAGTTGTTTTTACAAATATATAACCAAAAGAATTGTAACCAAAAAATTGTAAGATGTTTGTTTACTTACCCTTACAGCACCTATGTATTTTAAATTAGAAGTGGCATTATATATTGATGTAATTGGATATAAATTGTCAGAAAAGAGCCATTGTCAATAAAAAGAATAGGAATTTTAAAAAAAGATTTTGATTGCATATAAAAAATGGAAAAAAAAGATATTATAAAAATATGAAAAGTAAGGGTAACTATATTCAGTATTACAAATTAAAAAAAAAGAAAGAATTTTTTCAATATTAAAAGAATTAAATAATTTTTAAATTAATTTGACCATCCCATCAACTGGAAATTAGCCTGATTGACTTTGTTTTTCACTTGCTCTACTTCTATAATAAGGTTTATAAGAAAGTACAGTATGGTACCACAACTATTTACAACTTCTGCTTAAACTTTTTAAATGATTATTTAAATTGGGCTAGTGTTTTTTGGTTCGGGCTAGTAAAGTTTGAGTCTGCTAGCCCGAAGGACTAGTAGTCTAAAAAGTTTTTGGCACAGACTGCACAAAAGTACTGCAGAAGTAATAGACTATGTGTTTATTCAATTAAGCATGTGAATTAAAAACATTGTTAATTTTCAAAAAGTTCATTTAAATTATTGGTTTAAGATGGTGACATATTTTGTGATTGGACATTGCTCATCTCATTTAAATCATGTGGCCTTCACACACTTAGAATACCTTTGTTATCGACTCTCCCTTGATAAGGACCACTGACATTGCTGGAAATCATCATGCCCCTATCCATAAGCTATAATTCTGCTTATACTTCATGGTTTGATGTTGCAAGTTATGCCCCTCCTCCCCCCAGTGCTCACAGTCATAGATAGTTTCCATTAGCTTGATATGTATCTCAACAAACATGCTTTTTCGATAAATACATCAAAATTTGCATCAGTGTGACACATTTAGAAACAAAGCAACTGTAGACGATTTAGAATATGTTGCTTCATAGATGGAGTACAATATAACATATAGTAGCAATGTTGACTGATTTTCCATTTTTGCACTAATTTGTTAGGCCTTATTGGGGGTCAAATATGGCTGACCCACTTAAATACTTCCCCACAGGATAACTATTCAGTGTCTATTAGCAGATTAGACGGCAAGCTTTGTAGTGGGTCGCCATATTTGACCCTCAGACTTGTTGGTCCCCTATTCTGAATGGAGCCTTTGGCTGTATTCACAGAGCTTTTAGATCGATCTATCCCCGCGGGAGTCTCACTAGATTACTGTCAGATAATCCGGCTTAAATGTCCGTCCCGCCTACTACAAGCTGTAAGGGGGTAATTATCTTTCGTGTCCGCTCGGCTGACAGCTATTTAGCATGAACCCCCAGGGAGTTAGGTCGATCTAAAGTAGATCGATCTAATCTCTGGAAATGGGGTCTTAGACTCTCTTATTGCCGCATGTATAGTATATAACTTCAGTTGCACATCACATCTCATGCTGTTATATTTTACAAGTTTCTTTTGCCTCGTTTTCCAGATTTTATGTGGAAGCTTGACATGTGTTTAGGAGACAAGAAAACAAGATTTATGTAGATTCTTTTTAACTCCCTCTCCAGTGATCAGAAAAAGACATTTATTTGTTAATTATTAAATCTCTTTTTCTGACCGCTAAAGGTAAGTTTGAATAATGTTAAATTGTAATCCTATGAATTTTGACCATTTAGCAGTCTGAATTGAAATTTATAATATATTTTCAGTTCTTTGACAAAGGTTTTGATTGTCAGTCTGATTTAATTGTGTTAAATTCACTATTTATTTGTAATTGTATGTTCAGGTGCCTGATAATGGGCCATTCCATGGTATTTGTGTCCTAGGCATAAAATTTTCAAATGAACAAAAATCAATCAAAAGCTGCATCTTCTGAAAGAAGAGACTCCAGGGGATAAGAATTTGTAAAAGATTTATCTGTATATTTTTTTAATTCATGATTTTATAGCGCGTTAAACTTGAAAAATGTGAAAATTAGCATTACGGACAGAATTTTCTATTTTTTGCATATAACACTCAAAATAAATTTTAATCAGAGGATAAGAATTTGTAAAAGATTTATCTGTATATTTTTTTAATTCATGATTTTATAGCGCGTTAAACTTGAAAAATGTGAAAATTAGCATTACGGACAGAATTTTCTATTTTTTGCATATAACACTCAAAATAAATTTTAATCAGTATCTTTCAATTGAGACATAAATTACAGCAATTCCTTAAGGTAAACACATAAAAAATCCAGTGAAATCTTTAAAAAATAGTTAATTTATCATCAATCCAAAGTCATTTTTTCTGTCCGTAATGATTTGGGCTCTATTTTTTAAGTTTTTTTAAAGACTACTTGGCAAAAAAAAAATTCCTTTCATATTCTCCTCATACTAGTCCTATGTTTACCAAATATCCAAAAAAAAAATGTTTTTTTAATCATATTTGATAACAAATTAATTTCATAATCATTATGGGTGGAAAATAAGCATTACGGACATAAAGGCATAGCTACCTGGCTATAACATTTCTACTGAGTGATTTCATGTGGAATACTCAAGTAATTGATTTATGAATTTTAAAACTAAAGAAGAACTGTTTCCCTTATAAAGATTATTAAAAAATGCAGGATTTAAAGTCAAAAAGTGCTTTTTCTTACCTGGCAAGACTTGTCAACATCTGGGCAAATAGTTTTATCAAAACAGATGTTTATTACGATTTAGGCATGTTTTCCTTACTAGTACTTCTAATTCAGGAGATACACTGTAAATCTGCATTTTAAATTGATATAGTGTTGTATATGCTGCTTAATTGTTGATTGCTTCTATATTACAATTCCATAGAGGGCACAAAATGGCATCTTCAGCCACCCATGAGAGTCTGACAGGAAGTTCATCAGTGGCCAGTATAGGGTCAGCAGAACAACGGCCAAACTTTGTCCACCTTGATGAGCGCTATAAATGCGCCAAGTGTAAAGATGCCCTGTTAAATCCAATGCAAACTTCATGTGGACATCGCATTTGTGAACTCTGCCTTGATTCACTGTTCGGAGAAAATCAGGTCGAGGTCATGTGTCCAGGCGGTGAAGAAGATTGCGACAAACTGAATAAAAATGATGTCAACTCTGTGAGTATTAATGTCCATTAGCTATAGATAAATGTCATTGGAAAAAAATGTTTTTTTTTAATTCCTTCAGTGCTCTTTACACTATTCACAACACTGTCACAACTCTTGACCAAGTATGCAAATGATTAGTTCTCCCTTACCATTGCTTTGCATTGTAATGAATTGGAAATATTTATGTTTTAATGCTAACATGTGTAATTCTAACTGGCCACAAGTTTAGTGTAGCTCAGATGATGTTTGCTTACCGTCCTCATTGATGATAAACACAAAACTTCTTTTTGAGTTTGGGTTATCTTCGCTAATCTGAAAATGTAAATTTTTCTTTTCATTTTCATATGTTTATCTGAAAACCTGGTGATTTTCCAAAATATTCTAATTGTATTTTACCATGACTAATTAAAGTGAAACTGAGAGCTATTTAACTTTTGGTCATTTCTAGTCGTTCTATTATTATTAAATTATGAACCATCATTTACTGGAAATGCTGCCTGTTTTAGAATCTGTATACATTTATGTCTCTGTCTTATTAAATACTTTTTATGTACTGTACTAGGTTTTCAAGGACAAGAGTGCTCACAGAGAAATGCAGAGGCTTGAAGTTTACTGCTCAAATAAAAACTATGGATGCCCTAAAAAGATGAAATGGAAAGAGTTGGATGTAAGTACTTATTATAAGGTCCACATTATTTTAAACAAAAATTTAATATAATCTTTATGTCTCCTTGATCTAAAGGTTCAATACAATCCCTTTCAAATGGCTGAAAATTTAATGAGTTATTGAAATAAAACTACACTGAATGGCTGACTGTATGATTTTACACCTAAGTAACATATTTCATGTGTGTATTTTAGAAACATTCAGCAGATTGTGAATATACCCCTGAGTGTTGTGCATTTTGTGGCAACCTTATTCCACTTATACAAACAAACCATCACCAGACTGAAGAATGTTCACAGCGACCAGTAACATGTCAGTATTGCCTACAACAGGTGCCCTTTTCAGAGTATGAGGTAAGATTTAATGTGTAAAATCATTTTTGATTTTGGCAAAAAATAATAGTGACCTTAACTGGCCAAACGTCAAACTTTATATTATTGTGTTAATGTTCAATATCTTTAAAGCAGTTGTACTTTTTGGGATGGAAATGATAATTATTAATGCTATTTAAGAAAAATTTAAGCAATTCTTTTAAATTTGTCCATTGCAACAAAAGCATTTGGAGTTTTTACATTAGATAATTTTGTATTACCACAGAGGTATTAAAACTGTACAGTTTTTTTACATATGTTTTTTACATATTTAATTGTTTTGACTTGGTTGCAGACACACATAGATGAAACATGTCTTGGAGTCCAAGTGGATTGTCCACACAAATGTGGTGCAACAGGAATAAAAAGAGGGGAGGTACAATCTCTTTTAACTAGTAGCTTTGTTAGGTCTGCTATCTAGTATTTCTTCAAAATTTCTTAGATTTATTTCTCTGATCTAATCTATAACTTAATAGACAATCTTAAAAGTTTTACTCAAATTGCGCGTACACTCACAGACTATGTTTTGTATTGAGTTATGATTTTTACTGGTACTTCACATTTTATATTCTGATATATTTTTATTATACTCTCATTTTAGTATATTGTAGATTTGTGATGCTGTATTTATTTACTTATGGCTTTTGACAAAATATGTTAACTCTGTGTCTTGTGTTTATCAAGCTTGAAGAGCATTTTAGAATATGTCAAGCAAAGCCAGCAGAATGCCCATACAGAGTTTACGGATGTGAATTTCAGGTAAGAATATAAACAGTACATTTTCATAGGAGTAGAGTTGGATTAAAATATGTATATATCAGGGGGAATTATGAAAAATACATAATGAGGTAATGGTTATGTAATTAGAAAAAGATTGTCACTTAAAGTATCAAGGACCCTCCAGTATAAATGTGTCAAAATTTTACAACATTCACATTATAGATTGTTCCATCCTTCTATGATCTGTCAGGTTAAACTTAGCGCACAAAATGTATAGCAAATGTAATCCCACTGTCAAGTTATTTTGGAAAAAAGGGGGAAAGTAAATTTTGAAGTTTTTTATATGTGTTTATTAGGATTCCCCATAGGGGAATACTATTGTTTTTGGTATTATTATTATTATTATTATTATTATAGTTATTCTTTCCGCGCGTTTTTTTTCGCAAAAAATCTGAAATAATTATCATAGGTAGCCCATGGTGAGAATATGCCACAGACCCAGTTTCAGTGACCTTGACGTACTTTTCAAGGTCACAGGGGCTTTTAAAGGCAAAATTTGCAAAATTTGAAATTGCCATTAGGCCTAAAGTATAGGCTATATGGCTTAGGGCCTTATGGCCAATGATACTGAGCCAAATCCACAGATAATGACCTACTTTTATGCAAGTAGGTCAAGGTCAAAGTCGCTCATGGCCAAACGGGCTAAAAAAAGGTTTGTTTCCGAGATCTTAGAAACCGGAAGGCCCAGAGCCCCGATCATAGTGGCAAATGATGCCCTATATATTTATCTAAGGTAAACCGTACTTTGGTAGCGACTACCTAATTACTTTTTTTAACATAGATTTTTAAATATTTATGACATTGCAGAAATCTTGAGTTGGTCAATTTCTCCATGAAACACTGGTTTTTAGTCATAGCATGCTTTAGTAAACTACCCCAAACATATACCCAAAACCCCCAAATCAAATGTCTAATTTGAACTTGACCCTCATTTTCAAGGTCATTTGGCTATTTCATGGAGAAATATTGCAGTGGGCTAGAGTGATGTTTTGTTGACCCCCCCTCCTCAATTCGCACATGCTCTTTCAGAATATTGGGTCAAATTTAACCCATGACCTTCACATGACCTTGTAAGAGCATTTCCACACCTATTTTGCAGGGGAATCCTCCGCCACTGGCTTTAGCCAGTTGCAGTCTAGTTCTTTATTGTTTTGCGGACACTTTTATAGATTTGGTGGTTGTATTTTTAGGGAACACAACCAGAGGTTAAGACACATGAAGATGAAGATAAAGTGAACCACATACATTTATTAGCTGTACAGTTAGGTAGACTAGAACTTGACAAGATGGAGATCACACGAAAAACTGAGGTAAGGAATATGTAGTAACAGCTCCAAACAGTGTTCAAATTTGTTAATAAAGTTTGCATGTGCAAATTGGTTTAAAAGATGTTAAAAGGTCTTGGATAATAGTGGATGAATTCTTTAGGATAAAAAGATGTATTGAACATTCTTCTGATTGATGGCAATTTTTGCAGTTTCATAGTACATGTATAGATTAACTATCCTTACTGATGATAGACTTGGTTTTCATTTAAAATCTGCTGATTATTGTAGCCTACAATGATCAGATTATAATAATTATAACATTATTCCTTGTCCCAATGTAGGAATGCCAAAATCAGTTAGATGCTTTAAAGAACCAGGTCCAAAGTTTCGAAGCAGACAACGAGCAACATAAACAGACCACAGAAAACTTTGAAAAGAAAATGAAAAGCTTACAGGTAGGTCTTGTGGCATGGTTTATTTAACCTACTTTCAGGAATTCCGATCTGATGCATGCTATCTTTGTTAAATATATTTTCTGCTTAGCAGCTCTGACCTTAAGCGGACCCTCCATGTGATAATGAAAGTTTACAAATTTTAAAGTTAAACAAGTATAAACCTGTTTGAATTGAAATTGAAAATTAAATGTTTACTTTTGAAATGATTTAACAACTTAAGTCAGTGTGTGGTTTGATGTTTTATTCAATGCAGACAAAGTAAATTGTAGTATGAATATTCAATGAAGAGAAATGCACGTCATCATCATGAACCAAAAACATCCCCACCTTCCTTTATTCTTATTTTTACTGTTGTCAGTTTACTATTTCCAATTAGTTGCAAGGCTTAATTCACACAGTTCTCTTACATTTCATTCTGAAACATTCTTCTGAAACTGCCACCTTTGCCTTTGAGAGTTTCTTTTGATTAAGTAGGACATGTTGCTTGAATATTTAAAGATGATGTCATATAAACTGGCATGGTCTCAAAGTCATAATAACTCTTCGTTTTGGCCAAAAATTGGATTTTCCTGGAGTAAACGGCAATTTTCCCGTACTTACCAATGGTCAACTACCCCATTCCTGCATTCAAAGTTAGTCCAGGGTTTTTTTCCTAAACGTTTGGTTTTTTGTTTAAATCTCTTAAGAGATTTTAACTGACAGAGCCCTGTCTGACATTGCATAGTCACGCTATATCGAGCGATAGTTTCTGGTGACCTACTTAAAACCGCGGGAAAAGCTGACAACAACAACACTATATAACAATAATATAAGATTTATAAGATATATTCGTCTTATTGCTCAAAATGCATTAATATCTACAATGTGTGCAATTCTGGGCTTTTCGTTATCCGACGCACTGTACAAAAACTCGCAACTTATATCTGAGGATTGCATCAACGCGTTTCCCGCCATGTTATTTTGGTCTCGAATGAACGCGAGAATCCGCGTGACACCTCAACGTCATAAACAAGGGATGCCTTGACGACTGTGAAGAAAGGCATCGAAAGCCCTATTGACAAGCACAGATTTTNTTGTCAGTTTACTATTTCCAATTAGTTGCAAGGCTTAATTCACACAGTTCTCTTACATTTCCTTGTTCATTCTTCTGAAACTGCCACCTTTGCCTTTGAGAGTTTCTTTTGTTTAAGTAGGACATGTTGCTTGAATATTTAAAGATGATGTCATATAAACTGGCATGGTCTCAAAGTCATAATAACTCTTCGTTTTGGCCAAAAATTGGATTTTCCTGGAGTAAACGGCAATTTTCCCGTACTTTCCAATGGTCAACTACCCCATTCCTGCATTCAAAGTTAGTCCAGGTTTTTTTTCCTAAACGTTTGGTTTTTTGTTTAAATCTCTTAAGAGATTTTAACTGACAGAGCCCTCTCTGACATTGCATAGTCACGCTATTTCGAGCGATAGTTTCTGGTGACCTACTTAAAACCGCGGGAAAAGCTGACAACAACAACACTATATAACAATAATATAAGATTTATAAGATATATTCGTCTTATTGCTCAAAATGCATTAATATCTACAATGTGTGCAATTCTGGGCTTTTCGTTATCCGACACACTGTACAAAAACTCGCAACTTATATCTGAGGATTGCATCAATGCGTTACCCGCCATGTTATTTTGGTCTCGAATGAAGGCGAGAATCCGCGTGACACCTCAACGTCATAAACAAGGGATGCCTTGACGACTGTGAAGAAAGGCATCGAAAGCCCTATTGACAAGCACAGATTTTAGTTTTACTACAATGACAGTCGTTTAAGTGGTAAAATGCAATAGAATATATTTCCATGTGTTGTTTACAATGCATTTCTTGCGGAATTTTGAATCTCAAAGGAAGAGTTATTATTGCTTTAAGGAAACCTGCTAAATGTGTCACATTCCCTTTTATGGAAGCAAGTAGTCTGGATGATGAAATGAGCAATATGAAATCAACATGTAATCGACATGGTTAAATTAAATCAAGGTGAAGGTCACAGCAAGAAGTTCCTCATTGATATGGAGATTTGAAAATGTGGTAGCTGGTATTCATCAAGTCTGTTGTGTGTCAAACTACAAACAAAATTTGAAGAGAAACATTCAGGATATTTATGTTTTGAAATGTGGCTATATTCCTTTTGGAAAGCCTGTGCAAAAAGGTACATTTATGCCTTTAAAAGCTCACAAACATCTTGGATGTCTTAAAAGATAGTGAAACAAATGTCCCTACTCACAGAGGCATTGAACATTTGAAATAATAACATACTTGCGCTTGTTGAAACATATGTATTTTACATGGAATGGGATAACAAGGAAAAGGTATAGCCATGCACTTAATTTAATTGATCCCTTTTAAATAGCTTATTTGGATTGTTATTTTGGTATTTGCAAATGCACATGATATAGTATGTGGAGTGCTTAATACCAGAACTATGATTTTTCTTTAGAAAATGATGGCCAGTCATGGCGAAAAAGTCTATAAACTGGAAGACAAGGTCGAGGGAGTTGCAGAGAAAAAAGTTGTTGAAGACCACGGAAGACAAATCACTGCTATGAAAGAAACACAGAAGAATCACGAAGATAGGATCGTCAGAATCGAGCGTGGAGGTGGAGGAGGTACCGGTGGGAACGTGGGTGTCAGTGGTAAGGAAATGTTACAGTGGGGACAATGCCTCATGAAAGGGAACAACAAAATTTTGATACTTTTATGCCCTGGAGTTAGATGGAGAAACTTGATTTAAAGATACTCCTATGCATATTTTGTAAAGGGAGAGATTGCTTTTTACATTCACTGACAGTCTGTGAGAATGAAAGATGGATGGTTTTTCAGTTGGGAACCACAGTTGAAAGACTCAGTAGCTTTAGGGTGGTCATTAAGATTACATTAAATACTGCTTTTGGGTCTGTACTATTATTGGATATTAAATGATATAAATTTGACATGTACGTAATGCATTTCAATCAGTCATGAAAATTTTTTTTTCTAAAAAGGATAATTTAAAATGCCTATTTACCTATATTATACATGTATGATGTCATAATTTCAGAGGCCTTAATGAATCAATTAACTGCTCATGACCGCCAAGTAGGTATCCATGATGTGAGATTGGCAGAGATTGATCTTCGCTTTCAAGTTCTAGAAACTGCTTCCTACGATGGCATCCTCATCTGGAAAATCAGAGATTACACAAGGAGGAAGCATGAGGCCACCACTGGGAAGACATTGTCTTTGTACAGCCAGCCATTTTATACCAGCAGATTTGGATACAAAATGTGTGCCAGGGTGTACCTCAACGGTGACGGAATGGGCAAGGGAACCCACATGTCATTGTTCTTTGTTGTGATGAGAGGTGATTATGATGCCCTGCTTCAATGGCCTTTCAGACAGAAGGTCACTTTGATGCTCCTGGACCAAGACTCCGGTCGCCGCCATCTGTCAGACACCTTCAGGCCTGACCCGACCAGCAGCAGCTTCAAGAAGCCCACCTCCGAGATGAATGTTGCTTCGGGATGCCCTCTTTTTGTGTCCCAATCAGTACTTGAGTCAAAAACCTATGTGAAGGACGATACAATTTTCATCAAAGTCATTGTAGATACAGCTGATTTGTATGGACCCTAAGTAACTCATCCCCAGTAAACACACCATGTTGGGCTGACATGGACATTATTGCAATGTGACTGTGACCCCAACATGGTGTGTTTACTAAGATCATCCTGCCAGTGCCAATGTCTTGTGTGTATGTGTATTTGTATATATACTGGTAAATACATATTCCTGTACCTATACAGCTGTGCAATCAGTGCATACTTGACATGGGCCCCAGCAGGTGTCTATTATAATAGTTACATAACTCCTTGTATGAAGTGCCTCCCAAAAGTCCAACCCCTACGTCCTTGGCGTGGGAGGTGGTAAACAAAATGATTGGGATATGCTTGCCTGGTAATGAGGTGCTTGTGTGCTAACAATCCTAAATCAAGTGGCTAACAGGGGCACTGGCAAACTTTAATATTAGCTTGTATTACAGCTTCATTTTTTTTTAGAATTGCAGATATTCATGTATTATACTGCATAGAATGAAAAAGTAAAAAAAAATTAAAAATTAAAAAAAAAAATTAATTAAATGAAGAAGATTACAGTGATGTGTATATGCACTGCAATTGATAAATGAGATAATTATATGTACAAATTGAAATTGGTTTTGTCATATCATTGTTTGAATCAGTAGTTTTTCCAGAAAACTTGGTGTCTTAATTGTGGGATGATGTTATTGCTGTGTTTGCTTACATTTTATATTCTCCGTAGATTCTGCTTATAAATATTTCCCCATACAAGGAGTTATTGTAATTACCTGTATTGCATCAATTACACTCATGAACATTAAATGCAACCCCGTCAGTAATTAAGTAGCTTGCTTAGTGCATTAAGGAATGATAATGAGCTTGAGCTAATTTTTATATATAGAGCTCTTGTAACCAAGGGGTTGAACTCCCAAATATGAGGTATGTTGAGTACAGCAAAAATTGTGGTATTTTGTCTGTTTTACACACAGTGCACTTTAAATGATATGTGCACAAAGTGGAATTCCCAAGACAGAAGTAGTTAAAGTATATTGATAATTTTGGGATTTTTGTTTCTTTCACACCTAGTCCACTTGAAATAATATGTGCAAGCAGTAACTACCCCCAGTATACATGTATATGATGACTTTCTTCATCCCAAATGTGGGCAAGAAATACAGCACAGGTGCCAAGCTTACTAACGCCCCAATTTAAATGTGTAAACAAATACTCCATTCCCATAAACCCAACGTACTAGCTGGATCGATCTAACTCTGCAGGACTTCTCTCTAAAGAACTTTCAGGGTAATCAGCTTGTCAGGCACACCCCCTACATTAAAGTGCTTACACTGAATGCAATTCTATAGGCACATTTGGGACGAGGAAAGCCAAGATATGTAGTTACTCGTTATGCATATTATTCCAAGTGGACTAGGTATGGAAGACACAAAATGCCAAAATTATCTATATACTGAGAGTACTTCCGTTTTGGGAATTCCACTCCTTCGGTTACTATATACAACAAAATTATAATGAAATACGCGGTACTAAGTGCCTCACTGAGAATGCAGTGTTATTTTATATACAGTCTTCCTTGAATTTATTCACGAGCAATTGGTGCAATACAGAAATGGGATGAGTGCTTTTGGTCCATGTCAGGAAAAATGACAATTAAAATGAGTTAGACAAATAAAATTTTCGTTAATGAAAAGAGTTTGTTACTGTTGGTGATATGAGGTGATGAGGCATAGGTGCAATACCCATTAAGATAGATTTAAAGATTTTTATTTGACTTTCAATTTTCCTAGTGGATCAAAGAATTTTGCCTCAGATTTGGCAATAATGATATATGAAAAAGTACAAAGTCTGGAAAATGAAAGAGTTGAGAGCGCAGTTTTTTTTTTCAAATGGTGAAAGACGAGACGAGGTGTTAAAAGGAAATTCGTCTTACGCTCTCATCATGCACAATGTATCCGGTATAAAAGCTGATTTGGTTTTGTTACATTCTAGGATTTCGTGATCCTTTTTACTCGTCACTTGCAACCTCTTAGTTCACTTGTTATTTGAATAAAAACATAGTGATCATAATTTTTAAAGAGACCACTCATAGTTTACTCGTGCATCTGCTGTCTTCTATCGGTGCACGGCGCTTTTTACAATAGCAGACCCGGGGATGACAACAGTGGGCCGCGTGCCACCTTGCGTCTATCCCCCCCCCCCCCCCCCCCCCCCCAATCTACTCTACACATTACACTTAAACTGACCTCGCCTATCATTTCATAAAATTTCACACTTGTTGCCCCTCCCCCTCCCTCTCTTAAGCAAAATCCTGGATCCTGTAGTGTCTGATAAAGACCGTGACAAGGGACAGGTGTGACAGGAATGGTCGTCCGCTAGGAACCGTAATCCGACCCCCATTACTTTGTACAGGTGACATTCGTCCAATATACTAACCCCAGTACTCCAACTAACCCTGTGTTTATCATATGAGGCTCCAGACTCCCGTTCGTAAGACTATCAGTCCTGTCACCACTGTGTCTGTGCATGGAAGTAGATATACTTCCATGATCTGTGACAGATATAACTGCAACATTATCCCTGTCGCAACAAGTATTATAACAGGTACCATGCGCGACCACGCCCTTCTGTGCTGTAGGTGTTGACACACTGCTAGGATCCAATATAACACTATTATATTGGATCTTAGAAAACGGGTATTTGTATAGGGTTCGGGCATGGTGGTGACTTGAAAATTAGTGAACCATGGCCTTAAGTACACGCCCTGAAAATTACATGACCACAACAATACCCGGTGGATTGTGTTTGTTCAGCCATCCCGACTCTTAACTAGCCCCGGAATTCGAAATGATGCTAAGTCAACAGTTATGAAAAGATGTGTAATTCTACACCTTTCAGATCCACACCTTTAAACCAGCGTTAGTCAGAAAAGAGCTAGCAATATTATTATTTGGGTCATTGATGACTACACTGCTTTAAATATCGCGAGAGGCAACATAGGTGGAGAGGTGACAGTCGTTTTTAAATTTTGGTCCCGTTTTTTCTGTTTAATGACCCCAGGCCCCCATGTGTCAAATATACATGTACAAGTATATATAAGCAAGGACGCGTGAAAACACAACAAAAATCTTTTAACTACCAGCTTGGTTTAACAAGAGGAGGAGGAATAACTTGATACGACGTGGATCTACTCTGCTGTGAATTGAAAACATGAAGCCTAAACTGTACTCCGTTTCCATAGTGCCATGTATATTCATCGAAGTCGCCTTCATCCTCATCACCATTGGTCTTGGGACGGACAGCTGGTACTGGGTGACCAGTGGTGACCACCCGGTGGCCGAGCGACCGGAGCACAATATGAAGTACGGACTGTGGAGGACTTGCTTTACAGACTGGCCAACAGGTAGTGTACATGATGTATACGCGTCAATTTTATCAAATTAAAATTTTAACTTCCTGGGCGCAAGGAATAAACGGAAAAGATATCCATCTTACACTGAGCATCAAATTTATCGCTAATAAAGGCACATTCTGACACAGAACAACTTTAATACACATGCAATATGCATGCGGATATAAGTTCGTATAAATATGATGTTAGTAATTTAAAGTCATAAGTGAATATGGAGCGGGAAATGTTTTAGAGAGAAACTGAGTAGACTGACATACTCTTATGATGCTTATAAAACTGCGTTCAATGTAAACGAGAGAAGGCCGCTAGAGATTGAATAAGGTAGAGTTAGAAATGGAAAGAAAGCGGCGCTGCAAAGTAGTCAATAAATAATATGAAAGGCATGAAACAGAGTTGTATTTACTACCTCGTGCACGTGCAGCGGCAAAAGAGAAAGACAACAACTTCGTCACAGTAGTAGCTTTATTAATATTTAAAACTGTCTAAAATCATGTTGTAAGTAGGCCTATTCACTTTATTTGTGTACAATAAAACATGATGCAATCCATTGTTAGGCAAAGAAATAAGTAGGCCGTAAATGTGAGAGGAAAACTCAATATGGTACTATTATTCATCTTTTTTTTTTTTTTCATTTAGGTCCCTTTGCAAGGTTGTCGCTCGCACCACCGTATGAAGTGTGCGTGAGCAGCCTGACGAAGAGAACGAACAGCAGTACCGATAGCAGCGTTAAAAACACGTTAGAAGGTGCGACGTGATCGGAATGATGGTTTTTGCTTAATTTACTGGAGTAAATGATCCTTTGCGAACCTGCTTGATAAAGGTTACGTGAGCGTCTCTCTTTAATAAGGTGCCCTACTTCTTCCGAATGCGAAAATAAGGTTAAAGCTATTGGCGAATACAATAGATCTTACTTGAGAGATATAGAGTTGAAAAAGACGTGTAAGAGGTCTAAAGTGAAGAAAAAAAGCCATTATATATACACACATCTTCTCTTTTACATTATTTCTTACACCGTTATCCGATTTTTTTACTTCAGAAATTAACTTATTCGTGTCCATAGCTGTCATTAGCTCTGCCGCCCTCTTGTTGTTAGCGGTTGTTGTATGTAGTATTGGGTTCTGGAAGGAGTTGGTATCAGAAACCAAAACAGTGGTAATAGCTGCTTCCACCGGGGGCCTAGCTGTTTTAGGAGGTAAGTGCCCAGGCCCTCTTATTACAATACTTTCGAATTATAAAAAGTTTAGGAAAAATTGAGTCAATTTGCTGTGGGTCAAAAGATAATAGAATTCCCAAGCAGTTCGTCACACTCCCCGGAGCGACGCAACCTCCCCGCCTTCAGTTTGAGACATAAATCTTGTCAACACTTTTCACTTTTTTTTTTTTTTGCCTATTTCTAAATGTTTTGTTTATTGTAAACTGGATCGCCCTTTTGATGTTACGGGCAAATAATAATAATAATAATAATAATAATAATAATAATAATGATGATAATAATAATAATAATAATAATTGACATTGCTTAAAATGGAACAGTTGATATAAAAATTGATAAATCTCTGACTGAAATTAACGTTTTTTTGTATGAAATCATTTCAGGGTTACTGGAAGCAGCTGCTCTGATCTGTTTCATCGCACTACGCGACCTGGAGCGGCAGAACAGCCTGTTGCCCGCCACTGTGTATAGAGGCTGGGGATGGTCATTCATGGTCAGCTGGGCGGGGGTCGGGATGGCGCTCATTGGGGGATTTGCCTTCTTTTACATGGCATATCTGATGAAGCTTGAGCGAAAGTACACCTATGTGTCAAAACAGAACGGGAAAAGTGACGACAAATACGGGCTTTCCATGCAGGGTTACTGATAGAGATTTCATTAGTGGTAAACTTGATTTACTGTCGGGAAAATCGATACTACAGAAGATTTTTTAAAAAATGACTTGGTATGAAATGACTGCCAACGTGAAATTTGGTCTGTAAATGACCAGTTGAAGACGGTTTTAAGAGGAAAACTGAACACTTAAAGGGTGCCAAGTCTAAGAATACATGGACAGCCTATGAATTCATTGTTGGGGATCCGAAGGAAGTTGCAAGTTTTTACACAAAGGTCAATTTTTTGTTTTCAACAGTTTTACCCTTGGTAAATTCTGATTTTATATATTTACTTGTAAATGTAGCTATTTTTATATTAGATTTTGATAATGCTCTGCGAAATATATTTGGATACATATTTATGCTGGCGATAAGTTTCTCCGTTATTTAAAGGGATAATAACTCTTCGTATGAGATCTATATTTCACAATAAAAACATTGTGATTAACTCATAGAAATATAATACATTCTGTTTTAATTCAAAAACGGCAGTTATAGCTATTATTCTGATATCTGAGCTTGTCTTTAGACCACATGACCTCCATTGATGGCTATACTCTGTTAAAATCTCTTAAGAGATTTTAACAAAAAACCAAACTTTTTAGAAAAAAACCAGAGACTAATTTGAATGTAAAAATGGATTCATTGACCATTGGTAAGTATGGTAAAATTGTTGTTTACTCCAGGAAAATTATTTCTTTGGCCGAAACGAAGAGTTATCATCCCTTTAAGTATGTGACGTAGGATAATCAAGTAGGATAGGTACAAATGACAGAGTGCTCGTGATTCGAATCAATGATCTTTATATTAATCGCCATCATAGATTTCACCTGTGTATTATATTTCTGTACTCATTCTCAGTTTCATTTTTGATCTCTCATGCATAGCTGATGAGATAGCATCAGATGAATAAATGTCGGTATTATTGAATTGCTATTGCTCACACAGTCATAGATATTTAAATGTCTCTTGCATGCTGATCTGACAAAGTTTATGATTTTCTGTCATTATTGATCAGTTCTTTGATATTTTAATGTTGCATTTCAACCCCCCTTACTTAATATTTTTTAGATAAAATATTTAGAACTATTTGGTTATCAGGCTATATAGTGTGATTTGAATTAAGAGTTAATCATTTCTTCGGGTTGAAGCACCTCTTGCTTGTTTATTTGTGTTGACATCAACCAATCTGTAGAATTAGGCGCAATAATTTGGCATGGGGGTGGGAGGGGGGATTAAAATTTTCCTTTGGTTTTCATAATAAAATATTTTTCATGCAGACATGTTGAGTGAAACTGGGACGTCTAAACTATATTATTTCTAAGAATCCTGAACCCTTTGGTGCATCCCTTGAATACCTCTGTTTTCCCCTCAAAATCTTCATCCGCTTTCGTTATTTCTTAACAAAATTAACATCCTAGCTTTGGGCTTGTTGGTCTAAGTTTTAACTGATAAACAAAATGTCCAGTTTGGCTTTCTTTTTCAGCAATGAAAAAATAATAACTCAAGTTCAAAGCATATCAAGCTATACATGTTTGTAAGCCCTCTTCCTCTTACGACAAACATGCACATATGCTCTCACTATCGTATTATACAAAAGCACATCCTCAAGTTCAAGTGTGTTTGAAATGTGAAACTACGTATACGAAAGAGTTAGTACAACATTTTTATTCACGCATTAGTCAACACGAATGATAGTTAATCTTAGTGAAAATAACAAAAATATTCCAATAGCAAGATGCGGGACTTCCCTTCTGCGGGATTTTCCAGTCTGTAACCTACATAGAGTCGCCCTCTACGTCATTTTACCTAGTAGGGTAACGCCCATGGTTGTCAATAACTAATACAATTATATTAAACGCTAACAATAACAGGTGCAGTGCATGCTGCGTGAGGCAAAGAATTGCAGGGTGTTAGAATTTGTGATTAACCGGTTTATAATCTGGGTATTACAATCGCCACCCCTGCTACACGTGCCTGGAGACCGGTAAATTGGTAAATTGTACTAGAATCCAAAGAAAAGGACGGAGATATTGCCATGCATATTCACAATGGCCAACAGAAAGCGACTAACGGAAAGCTCGACCCAAAGCTGGATTAACTGAGACCGAGGCCTTCTCGACTGTCACTCTCACCATCGAATACGGCATACCTGTATCAAGCTATATGGCGTGTATTGATCAGAAATAACAGTCCATACTGCGTCACAATAAGAACTCGGCCAGGTTAAAACAACTGAACCCGGGGTCCATCTTCGCCATAACACGGGCGTGGTCGCTGTCAAACTGTGTGGGACATCCCATTAAAATGACCCGGCGGAGCGACTCGGTTCCCGACCCCAAGGCTATGGGGCCCAACCCGGAACATTACCAGGCGGCATTCGCACCGTGTGTATTTGTAGCCGTGGCGTTAATACTGGTCACCATCGGTCTAGGGACGGACGCCTGGTATAGGTATGCCACAGAGGCCAACGCCGTTGACACCGACCCTTTACATAACCGAGAGTTTGGGCTATGGAGGACGTGCTTCTATAACTGGCCTACAGGTGAGTGCTAAGAGTTAAGGCAATACGGGCCCCAGACACAGACCTACTAATTTCACCGAGGTCTGACTCACTATGTATGTTTCACCTGAGATATTTCACATAAAACTTGTACTAGAATCGGGTGCCGTGGAGGGGTCACCTCAATATTGTTAAGCATGAAAAAAGACTCGTAGCATTAGCTCAGAACACATGAAAAAGAACATGGTTACATGTGACTTTCTTTGTGTCTGGACAAAGAACTGGAATTCGTGATCAATGAGGTTTCGATAATGAGACTTTTCTTTCTCACTTTTTACTGTGGTGTTGCCTGTGAGGTTTGATGCGCCAAACGCTAGAATCACGCCAGTATCTACTGCTTATCTACACAAACCATTCGCCTTAATGACATAAAATTCCCAAGGCTGCCGTTAAGTGTCCAATCTCCACACTTCACGAACTTCACCTTTGCACGCTAACATGTATTCAAAGGACAAATACATTCAACCTCTGCATTATCGAGCTATTTTCTTCAAATATTTAATCGTTATATTGCATAGGTAAGTTTTAACAATTGTGAGCGCCCCAGAGATCAGAATTAAAAAGCAGACTTGAAATAAAGGAGTTATTTTAAAAACGTAGTATGTACGGGGCGTGGTGTTAACAAGGTAAGTGGTAAGTCTATTCCATCACTACCTTACTGGTATATTCGGAAGTTTTTTTTTAATTACAGATTTTGCGTACTAAGAGGCACCTTGCAAAACTTCCCCTTTGTCATTTCATAAAATATATCAGAAATATTCGCTGCTTAACTCGTTTCCCCATTTTGTCCATATCACCCCATTTACTTTATAAAACAGTATTTTCATTGGCTGGGATACACATTCCGAACGTATATTGTTTCGATTGCGATAGTTGTTCGCCGGTAAAATGCGATCCCATTTACTTTCAGGTGCAATGTCCAGAGTCAAGCTTGTTCCACCATACTTAGTGTGTATAGACGAAGTTCCCGAGACTGCCAACAGTTCAAATGTTTTGTATAGTAGGATGAAAGGTAATGCCCTGTTGGAGCTCCACTGATTGGTTGGACTTTTTCCTTAAAGATCGAATAAATTCCTGACTACGTTTTTTATATATTAAGATTATAGATATTAGCATGTGAGATAGCTTCTTAGATTTAAGAAATTAATATATTTATTCTTTTACTTCTTAATTCCCAGGTATGGTTCGTGTAACCATGGCATGCGTGCTGGCATCTGCTGGAGTGCTCCTCTTGACACTTGTGGTCATAACTCTTGGTTACTGGCGACATCTGGTGCCACAGGTCAACGTCAGACAAATAACGTGGGCCGCCGGGGGTTTCTCTTTACTTGGAGGTAAAATTATGCGTTTCATCTTCAGTCTTTAGGCTACAGGCCCGTAGCCAGCAATTGCAGAAGGAAGGGGGGTCTTTTTCCTCAAAGTGTGGGCCTTTTTTCATGGAACCTTAGTTTATCTAGATCAAATTTACCCAGAGTGGACATTTTCCCAGCTAAAAGATGGGTTCGAAAGCACTAATAGGATATATGCAATGTCAGAGGGAAAGTGACAATCACCGAATTATACTGATAATAGGATGCGACACACTTTTTTTTGTTTTTTGTTTTTCATTAAAATAGTCAGTTGAGCCTGTCATTTTACAATTAATTGTGTTTATTTTAATCACATACGGGGTTTCATTTTAACTAATTTGGTCAATTTTGAAGAGTATGCTGAATAGAAATAAATAGTTTCTATGATTTTCAGGTTGTTTAGAGATGGCTGGTCTGATATCTTTCATAGCATTACGAGACATGGAGCAAGAAGGAAAAGGCCTGGGCAATTCTTACTATACCAGCTACGGATGGTCGTTTATCATAAGTTGGGTTGGAGCGATTTTTGCCGTTCTAGCTGGCTTTACATTTTTCTATGTTGCATATCTGATGCTGCTGGATTACAAGTATATCAAATCTATAACTTTCCCCGGTGGATTTACCGAGGAGACTTCGCAAAACGGGAGTAGCCTAGCTGGACCAAGGGTTTGACGGTGGATTTTAATTTTTTTTTGTGATACTTACCGTGCTTTCATGTAGATTATGATTCTAATTTAATACACAAGATACCGTGGACAACATTACATTTTAATCATGTCGGATGACAGATGGAAATCATGTTTTCTTTAAGACGGGAAACAGCCTCCTTGTACTCAGTGAACGAGGTGAATAAAGACTTGTTTTCTGGAAGGATGGATGAATATTCACATTATCTTTTACATTACAAAATAAGCTTGTCTAAGATCTGTCACACTGTGTCACTGAGCACTGTATACAAATACTGTAATTTGGTGTGAATAAAATAAAACTGCAAAAAAGCTACAGTTTGAGTTTCTACAATCTATCAATTGATGGAAGATTAAATCAACTTACTTAATGAAAAAACACGGGAGTCAATTTTATTTTGAAGTCCGTCGACGTCGTCTAACATTAAATTTTTCTTATTTTTATCACACGAGTGCTTAATCTCCTACTCTTTCTGACACGTTTTGCCCGAAATTCGATATATACGTTTAACTATCGGTGATTATCAAACTGCATATCTGCAACGGGGGATCCTTAGCACAGCGTGTGAGTGCTCTGCGTTAGGTTCGGAGGAACCCCCTTCCTAAAATTTTGCAATACTGGCTCTCGGTTCTATGTTCTGGGTGACTGCGGACTTTTCCATTACATTCGAGTGCACCCACCTGGTTTACGACTCCTAATAGAAGCGGGTAAACCTTGAGATGTATCTATTTCAAATAAAAAGCGCTGGATATCAATGCCAATCATTAGTTGCATTAGCTCAATAAACCTGATGCCTGGAAGTGGTATGCTTCGTGTTTGAAGCCTACCTGTACATCGCTTGTTCATTATCATCCCAAGTAAACTTAGTACAGAAATCTTGAGATGATTTCGGATAGGATAGCCCGTTACAGTCACCGTTAAGTACTTTGTTGGACGATTTTCAAACTAAGGGCAGACCGAAAACGGAGATGGCATTGCCGTAATTTGCACCTAATACTATTTTACCTTCTACTCCGAAAAGAAACGCGGAAGCCACTGCACCTGCATCTGTGATAGCTCCAAGAAAACAATGAAATCTTTACCTCATTTCTGTTTTTGTTTATTTTTAAGTTTGTATTGAACAGGTGTTTTGGGGTTGAGGCATTGTTTTTAAACAGGACATTTATCAAGCCCATCATTATTAAAAGTGCAGATTTATAGTGGTTGCTTTGATGTACAGTTGAATTTAATTGAATAGTATAGAAGTATTTTAGCTGGAAATGTGACGAACAAACAATTTTTACCTTGAACGAAAAAAAGTGTGATTATCTTATTTCCTTTTATGGGATGCAAAAGAACGCACAACATTTGAGGTACACGAAACACTTTCTCTCTTCCGACAAAAAGGGTAACCTCTTTGGTACCTATTCTTTCGCGTACATGCAAATATCTAGTATGATAAATAAAAAAAGAAAGGGGCTCCTATATTTGTCAAAATATCTAATGTTTGAGAACAGATGCACTGACGGGGCCAGGCCTAGGGTTATTTGCTAAGAGATGGGGCGGGGCAGTTTGCAAGGCATAGAGAAAATATTAGGCGAGTTTCATACTATAATATGTAGCGTGCATGGGGGGGGGGGGGGGGGGGGGGGCGTTTGTTTTTTTCTTTTTGGAAAAGAAAAAATTTAATTTTTAAAA